TCCCCAACAATGGAGCCCAGTTTGAAAGGCAGAATGAAGTTCGAAAATCGAATAAATATTCAATTATTTACTTGACTGCGAGTTTCGTTGGGCTTAAGAGCTCAGTACAATGGAAAGGGACGCAAACACGCGAAGAAGTCAATATTGAAATTTCCAAGAGCATAATACGGGTTACAGCCATTTACAAGAACGTGTATATAAATGATATTGAAGCATCTGGCTGAGGGCAAATAAAAAATAGATGAACTCACTTTCCTTTATGTGCTCACACACACACATGGTGCCTCGAATTGCAGGGGGAGTTGGGGGAAGGACCTGGCAAACAACTCAAGCCAGCCAGGACATTAAAATGAGCAAAATGCGTAATAAAAATCCAACCTGATCCCGGGCCCAAATATTTGCTTATCTACAAAAGCCAGAAAAATACCCCAAATTGAAGTCGAATTGTAATCAAGCAAAGCGAAGCTTGACAGCAAAAAAAATGTAACGATTTCAAGTTACAAGTTCATTTTAAAGCCAAAAAGATACTTTAAAGCTGTTTGGCCAGGAAAAACATCAGTTGGGCGAAGGAAATCCTATGGGATTTGAGAGGAAGCTCGGTTGATACATGTTAAGATATTGAACTAGGAGTATGTGATTTAGGGCAACTTGAGCTGGGTCATGTTTGGATTAGTATTACATAAATATATTTTAAAAACCTAAATGGCCAAGAAGTGTAGACCAAGAGTTAGTTTTTCGTAGATGCTAGTAAATATTATTGATTACCCCATTTGACTTAGATTGTTTAAAGGTTTGACTTTTTAATATTTTTACAAAATTCAGAAATACTTAGAAAAATTACCCTGGCCCTTGATGGATGTTTATATTACTTATTTACGACTAGAATTTCCTTGAATACTATAGTCCTTCTCCTTTCTCGCCTCGATTGCCAAAACATCTCGGCAAGGATCACAGCAGCTGGTATTTGCCTGCGATTTACCGACTACGAATACTATGTCCTTTGGGCTTATATTCCTGTCCAAATTGGGGCATGTTTCCCCCTCCCTGGTTAAAAAATATTACGATTACTTATTGAGTACTTTACAAAGAAATACTCACCTGGCATAATCGCCACATCTGATGAACAGCTTGCAAAGAAACTCCAGACCACCTACTGGTTTTCCCGCCATTTCTAGGTTACATGTGCTCGTATAGGAGAACGCTTTCATGTCCAGTTTATCCTTCCGGTTAATTTCTTGGGCAGACCCATCTTACCCAAGCCAACCAATTGGTCGTCGTATATCACCTCAAAGTTCATGCCATCTTCTTCGATTTTCTGGGAGAGATTGGTGGCTCCGCCTGGAAAATAATGCTGGCATTCGGCTTGAACTCGCTCACATTGTGCGACTTGCCGTGAGACTAAGGTCCTTGCCCCCAAAGTTGACCTTCACCAGTAGCTTCCTGGGATCTGCCAAAGCCACGCCCTTGACCTCCAGTCGCGTTATAATCAGATCGAAAGAGAAGTAGGGCACATTTTTGGCAAATACTGGTTCTGGGGGTATTTCAGGCACTACTGTGGCCCTAGCATTGATAACGCTCTTGCCCTTCTTGCCCTTGCCTTTTTGCCTTTCTTTCCCATCTTTCAGGATATTCAAGGACTCGGAAAGCAGGGATTTGATTGCAGGCTCTAGCTAAATTTTTCTCTGGCTACATAATAATTTTTAACAATGAAACGAACAACCAAACAGGTAAAAATAAATTGACAAGCGGAAATCTATTGCTACTAAGATTGAAGGATATATTTTCACCAACTTTAATAACAACTTTATAATACCTTAGTCTTATTTTAGTTACTTCTCAACCTTATGAATAAAAGGCTTCTACATGAAAGTAAACTTAAATTTTGTTAAACAGAAGGAACTTAAATGAAGCTTAAGTTCTTGGGAACGTTTTTGATTTAAGTAAAGGATTTTCCTTTTGGGGAATATATGCATTATATGTAAGTACTTGAGTAAATGCACCCACACACTGCCTGCACTCAATGCGTTGAATAACCAAAAAGCCTCGAATTAAATACGATTTAACACTTTGGACCCCGGAGAACGAGCTGTGCTCCGTGTGCGGAACTCGTAGATTTATTGGCCTGGAGAACTCCAAGATTTCCCAGCTTCCTGGGAAGCTCCAGCTCCATCTCCATCTCCATCTCCGGCTGTGAATGATTCGCCAGCATATTTCAGAAGCGTTTAATGGGAGCGCTCATTTGTCTGCCAGCAGGATCCCGAGCAGTGGCAGCCGCATCAGCAATGCTCCTGCCAAGTGTCAGTGGGCCAAGTGGGTGGATGCAGCCGCAACCGCCAACGAGGAGGGCATTAGGTGGCCTCCATGCCCGGTTTTGGGTACTTGTGGCGTATACGTAACGTGCGAAAACCAAGAGTGCTCACTCGAGCCGAAATAAGAGCCAAAAACCAAGAACACTCTCTCCAACCAATTAGTTGTGGGAGCACAGAATCGGAATTAGTTTTGCCAGCTGCTCGAGAGAAACATCTTTTGTTTTATGGTTGATCCGAATGGAGATTTATTCAGCTCCACTTGCCCTATATAGTATGTGCCATCACACCCATTTCATATGATGATGGTTGGGTCATGTAGCAACATATTCACATTCGGACATTCTAATTGGTGGCTTTTTCCAGCTGGCAAAGTGCTTTGCATTTATTTTGAGGCCAGACATTAATTTGGCAAAGCAATTAAAATGCAGCAAGACATCCACAGAACAGCACTAATATGCAAATAAATGTGGCCAAAATGGTTCAGCTTTAGTTATTTGAGTCGTACATCAAAACCGATTCGGCACATAAATTATGCAATCGAAGGAATTTAGGCTTTGCAACAGAACCGGACAGGACCAGAACCAATGACAATTGCTGGTGAAATTGTTTTGCAATTGCTTTGCTCGACAAAACGGCCAACTAATTAACAAGTCATTAATGCCACGTTTCGACCAGAGGAGCCAATTTAGCCACACGAATATGTTACCTGGTGCTCCCTGCTCGATTTGTATTCGACAATATTTGTGCGAGCTCCGACCAAATTGTGTGTGGCCATCAAATGGACATGTGTTTGGATTGCCAATCTAAATACTCTTATATAAGAAGTTGTGGGCTATACATTCCAATGATTTTAACTCTCTAATCGCTTTGACATTTATTTGACTTCATAATAATGGAAAGTTTATAAATATTTTTGTACTTACTAAGGCAATTATTATATATCTTATAACATTAACTACCTGTTTATTGTCCAAAACCACATGATTGTAGTTATTTGCGTTTGCCAAAACTAAAATTGCTTTGATTTTGTACTCTGCCAGACAAGCAAATAATTAAAGATGGGTTTCCGAAATCTGGTTAGCTTAAAACTTTATATATAAAGCTATGTATTCGAAACTAAGAACAACGTTATGTAACTAAAATAAACTAGTAATAAATAAAAAGGTTTACAAAAACATTTAAACAAATAAATTAATATTTCCATAGGTCTTTTTAAAAACCTGGATAATATAATGTAAATATATAAATCTATATACTTGAAACTTATAATACATTCACAAAGAAATATATGTTGCTTGTGTTTTTATGGTTTTTTAAGCCTGAATGGTATAATCTAAATGTACAAATCTATGTACTCGACATTAAATATATTTAAATGAGAATAGTACTAAAAAAAGTGAAAATTAAAATATTTAACTGTTGAAATAAGAAAACAACTAAAGAAATAAGAAAGTTATTTAAGACATAATATGGACTCCCCAACTATGGACTTCTTTCTCAGTTAGAGTAAACTTTTATATACACTGGTGTTGTATAATTTATGCACGAGTGGCTTCCACTTGGCCAGCAGAAACTCGGCCAAAAAAACTGGACCGAATTTCGCCCGAACAGGGGTCCCAATTTGTTATTGTTTGGCTATTGGCGGAGGAGCCACCCCCTCGAGAACCCCCGCCCATGTCGAACCCACTGAACATTTGGCTGCACCAATTTGTATCCAATTAAATCGGCTTAGTTAGTCAGGCGGTCCCCTCTCTAAAACGTTTCTATTTTGCGGTTCAGCATTTTTCGACAAAATCCCCAATGTTTGGCACAATTCGCTCTTAAAAACTAGTTTTCGGCGATGATTGGGTGTGTGATGATGGACTGGGCCAGCGGGTATAGCCGATATGCGTCGACCTAATGCGCGAAATTTAATTAAAATTGAACTTAATTTAGATAAGCATGTGAGCTGATTTGATAAATGGCAGTCGCCCCCGGGGGGCGTGTGAGATTTCCCAGGCATCGCGTGCTAAGCGGCTTACGGAAGGTGTAGCGATAAATAAGAGCGGGATTTTCCACGAGGGGCAGTCAACAGGCGAAAATGCGACTGGGAGTGGTCGGGGTAATTAGAAACCCATTTGGCTGCTTTTCGCTGGCCCAGACATGTTCAAATTCCTCCAGGAGTCGTTGGTCAGACTGCAGGTCACTGGAGTTCACACCGTGGCCTAACAGCTGTTCCCAGAGGTCTTCAGGCACTAACTTCTTTTGGTCTTTTTTATTCTAGCTATGTAAGTACTATCTAAGAACAGTCTAATGCTTTTAAATAACTTAAAGAAAAAGATGGTTTAAGGTTTGTACAACTTTGATGTGTTGAAAATAATGATTCTTAATTAAGTTTTATTTCTGAAGAAACCCTAAATATCAGCAACACATATTATTTGGTTGTGTTCATTGAACAAAAATAATGATAATTTTATTACATCAATAGGTAAAAAATATTATTTATAATCAAAAAACAATCAAATCTAATACTTTTGGGATGTTAGTATTAATATCCTCACATTTAATATATCCTTTACTATTAGGTATAATATTAAATTAATAATCGTTCTTAGCATCTCTGACTAGCATCGTATTGTTCCTTTCCTGCTGAAAATATTAAAAAAATATATCCCTGGCTTTAATGTCATACCCTATAAGACCGGAGTGCATTTATCACTCATAAAATTTTCATCTTTACACAATTTGATACCTAAAATTGTGGTAGTTTTTATAAGCTCTATTTACTTAAATATGGAGGCTGGCCAAGGAGATGAAGACACCGACTTCCTTTTCGATATGTGGTCAAAAGTCTCGATCTGTACAAACCGGTTAAGGAACCCGAAAAATGCGAAGCGCAAGTCAAGTTTGCCGGCCTCAATATAAACTTACACCGAGTCGGATCAATGTCAGCGACTTTGCGGACAACAGAAGGACGGAGTTTACCACCAGACCTTCGGTGCTGCGAAAGGCCCTTGAGGAACAGGGAATGCAGATAGTCGCCCGTTACGAGGGATCATCCCTGGGCAGTAATGTGATGCTCTTCCCGGACACCTTTATCGACAAGATATGTTCCACGATGAACGATCTCTACTACGAGGATACCATACTTTTGATGCGCCGAACCGACTGCGTTGGCACTTTGACCGTATTCTTAGTTCTGATAATCAAGTGCACAGATTTGGACATAACTAGGGAGGAACCGCGCAGATCGAGCTCACGTAGGAGTTCCAGGAAATCCTCAGCTGTTGTAATCCCGAAAAAGGTGCAGGAGAAAGTGGTATGCACGGGACTGGGACCCACATTCAATCCCCAGGATGTGATGTTCATTGTCGGTGATCCCGATCCCCTGCTGAAAATCCCTTCTGAGCCTTGTCCTGAACTTCCTTCAGAGGAGGGTGATATCCGCCTGGATCTAGACTTGCAGCGCTATAGAAGCTTGGATAATCGCCGCGTAGTCTTCCCAGATGACGATCCCTGTCTCGAGGAGAAGCCCTCTTTTAGTCAGCTAAAGAAGCTAGCAGATGACTACTCAAAGATCATTGGTTTGGTGACCGATAAACTGAAGAGGATGGAAGTGCCCATCAGTTCGGCGGTGCCCACAGAGCCAACATCGGAAAAGAATGCTCCTACTCCAATGGATCACAAGGAAATCCCCGAAGAGCGTTGGATACCCGTTCCCCTGAGAAATGATACTGAATATGATATCAAACCCATTCGCTTTTGTCCTGTTTGCCTGTATTCCATGTCCTGGCTGCCCAAATATATACCCTGTCCCCGTTGCAACATCAAACCACGTTCTGTGCTGGAGGAACTTCCCAAGAAACCGATGACTGCGGATGAGATCTTGGATGAGCTGCTGGTCAAACCAAAGCTAACTGAAGATTACGAAGAGCTTTGCTCAAAATCATGCAAAAAACCTATATTGCGAGTCAAGAAAATAAAGAAAAAGAAGAATAAACCTGGGCTGGGTCAACCAGTTCCGGACTCTGAATCCGAATCCGACGTGGAGTGCCCTCCATGCCGGTGTACTTGCACTTTGGGCACCTTTTGCGCCCATTGTCGAATTCGCAAAATGTGCGAGGACATCTTTAAAGTTGAGGAGAAAAAGGTGCCAGAGGATGAGAACCAGTTGGTAATACCCCAACCTGGTTTAAACGAGGATTTCTGTGTGATCCCCGAGCCCATCAATGATCGTCCCTATTTGACCAGAGTTTTATCCGAGATGAAGCATCTGTACTCCCTGCACGACACGAAGAAACTGTTGGAGATCGAGAAGCGATGCGAATCGCAGACGCTACTCCCGTATCGCCCCTCCAAATCCTCTCTAGCCTTTAGACAGTCCCATAATCTCTTGGATCCGTACATTCCAGGAGCCTATCGACAGACGGCGGGTCACAAGAGCTGCCTGCCAAGGGAGCACACCGTTCCTCGTCGCCATGGTTGGGATTGGCCTCGAACCAGGGAGGCCAGGAAGTACGGCTGGAGGCCAGGAGCCATCCTTCGAGCAGCTGGTCAGGTGATGCGCTACTTCCTGATGCCCAAGGAGGAGCGTGGTCTGTGCCGCAGGATTGCTGATGATGAGGAGGAGCGAGAGCGAGAAGGACTGCCCCTGTTAAATATTTACAAAAAGGATGGAGTGATCTTCGTCACCCTTCGTGCCCTTCCCACCCTGGACATGCACCAAAAACCCATCACCTTTCGGATTGTGAAGAGCGACTTGGCGGTTGCTTTGCGGCAGATCAAGCGAGCACTAAAAGATCAGGGCTTCCGCAAGTGCACTTGCCACAAATCCTTAATGCTGTGCACGTGTCGCGATGCCCTGGAAAAGTTTGAGCTGAATAAGGCCCTCAAAAGGGAGTGCCAGCGACGCATCATGGAACCCTGTCCCGAACACTTGGTGCTTACCGATACTAGTGTCAGCGACTTGGAGTTGAATCTCCATGTGAATCCGCCAGCGGCAGCTAGGAAACCAAAGGAGAAAGCCCTTCGGAACGTGGTAAATCATGGCACTCAGACTGAGAAGGGGATACCAGCTATAGAACCCAAGTACCCAGTGCCCGATAGTCCCTTTTGGAGGGCCTTCGACTGTGCAGCCGGCGATCGCTACATGGGCACAGCCTTTGGAGACAATATAGAAACCGTTTTTGAGGACGGAATTTATGGCTACGGAGGTGGGGGTCAACATGGAAGAGCCCCCGTTCGACGAGATCCGAGGTTTGGGGGAAGCGAACTGGAGCACCTATGCCATTGGAACTGCTCCCGATACCATCGATCCCTATAGGTTCACTCGAACTGTGTGGAAGACACTTCCGAAAAAAATTGTTCACCAAATGCGCACCAATCGCAAACTGTAATCTTATTAACAATAAATATTATCTCATGTTAGTCCTCATTTTTGTATTTATCAAGCAACCCGAGATGATTTTATCATAAATTAATACGACTTTACAAGCCCAATATTTTTTGGAACATTTACAGAGCTATTTTTAGAAGGCTATGCATTTAGTGCCATAATATTGTCACAAATTCACAATTACTTTTGTGTACCTCACTCACACACACAACTTGAGTTCTCCATTTTTTTTTTGTAATTACCTATATTATATAAATGTTATTTACCATTAGAATACTCGACTAGAGTTGTAAAATTCTAAAAAAAAATCTAAAGATCACAATCGCGAAATGGGAGAAAACGTAACGTTTCTGTTCGACTTGGTCGTCACCCATTTGGAGATTTTTAACGTGCAAATCGAGGATCCATTGAAGCTTCTGGTGGAGACCAAGGTTGCGGGAAAGTCTGTGAAGGTGACTTCCAGTCGGCTAAATGTCAACCAGTTTGTGGCCAACAGAGAGTTAGAGTTGGCAGTGGAGCCTTCGACCCTGCGTCAAGTTTTGGAGGAGAAGGGAATGACGATGGGTTCCGTTTACCAGGGTTCAACCCTGGGCACCGCCACCATGATCTTCCCCCTGGAGTTTCTCGACAAGATCAGCTCCACCATGAACGATCTGCTGCATGAGGAGACACTAGATCTGGTCCGCCGAGCCGACGTCGTAGGCACCATAAGCATTCTCATCCGTTTGACTCTGAAGTGCGAGTATCCTCCAGAGAATCAGCCACTGAGGAAAAGCGTTTCCCGCGCCAGTAGATTGTCTCTGATTGCGCCGAGGAAGACAACAAAGAGTGGACCAGAGAGTTGTGCCAGCCAGGGACCGACCATGAATCCCCAGGATGTGATGTTCCTCTTCGGCGATCCAGATCCTCTGCTGAAAGTTCCATCCGAACCTTGTTCGGAACTTCCGCCGCAGGAGGGAGATGAGCGTCTGTTTCTGGACTTGGAGCGCTATAAGAGCTTAGAAATCGAAGGGCAACTTTCCCGAAAGATGATCCCTGTCCCAGGGAGAAACCCTCCTTCACCAAGCTAAAGCAGCTCACCCAGGAGTACTCAAATATCATAGATTCTGTGGCGGGGAAGGTTAAGCATATGGAATTGCCCACAAGTTCGGTGTTTACAGAGCTTCCTAGTGAGGCGACTGTGGCCACTCCAGTTCGCACTCCAAGGACTCCAGATCCCACTCCCAAGGAACGCTGTATTCCAGTTCCGATGAGGTCTGATCTAGAACATGGAGTGAAACCCATACGATTTTGTCCTGTCTGCTTGTGCTCAATGTCCTGGATGCCGAAGTTTGCCCAATGTCCTCAATGCTATACCAAAGCTCTACCTTTCCTGCAAGGACATCCGAATGAAAGCTTGACGGCGGATGATGTCATGGCCGAGCAGCTGTGAGACCGGTGGCATCGCCAGGAGCCGAGACTTTTGTGACCCACCTGTGACAAGGTTCGAAGACGGAATTTCATCGAGAATGAGTGTCCACCTTGCCGTTGCACCTGCACGGCGGGAAAGATGTGTGCCCACTGTCGAATCCGCAAGATGTGCGAGGACATTTTCCAGGTGAGAAGCCACCGGAACCAACGTTTCGCAAACCCGAACCCCGTTCCAGTGAAGACTTTTGCTTGATCACAGAGCACAAGGATGATGATCTCCCTTACCTGTCAAAGGTGTTCACCGAGCTGAAGCATCTCTACCACCTGCACGACTCCAAGAAGCTGTCGGCTATTAAGGAGCGTTGCGAAGCCAAGTCGCTGTTCACGCTCCATGGCAGGCGTTCCATCAAGGAGCTAACGGAGTCGCTGTACCAGGGAGACAAGTTCACCGGCGGGGTCAGTCATCCTCCAAAGGCTGGTCACAAAGAGTGCCTTCCACACACCAGTGTGGTGTCCCGCCGACATGGTTGGAATTGGACCAAGAGCTGCGAGGCCCGAAAAAATGGTTGGCGACCTGGAGCCATCTTGCGATCATCCGGCCATGTGATGCGTCACTTCCTGTCCGCAACAGAGATAGCAACGTTTGCCGCAAGGTAAGAGCCGAGCAGGAGGATCAGCAGCTATATGGTCACCCAGTGCTCAACATTTGCAAGCGGAAAGGTGAAATATTCGTGACCCTTCGCCACTGGCCACTTTGGGCATGAAACAGAATCCCATCACTTTCAAGATTGTAAAGAGCGAAATGGCCGTGGCACTGCGGCAGATAAAACGTGCTCTGAAGAATCAGGGCTTTGAGAAGTGCACCTGTCACCAGTCGTTAATGATGTGCACGTGTCGCGATGTCTTGGATAAATTTCTCCTCAATAAGGCCCTGAAAAAAGAGTGCCGAAGCGTTCAATAGAGCCCTGTCCCGATCATCTGGTGCTCACAGATACAAGTGTTAGCGATTTAGAGTTTGATCTGGATGTGACCCGCCAGCAGGGACTACAAACCCGAAGAGAAAAGCCCTGCGAAACATGGTGAATCATAGTACCCAGACTGGGAAGAAAGGGCCACCAAAGATAGCTCCCGAATACCCAGTGCGCGATAGTCCCTATGGAGGGCCTACGATTGTGCTGCGGATATCGCTACATGGGCACACCTTTTGGGAACAATATAGAAACCGTCTATGAGGATGGAATCTATGGATACCGGGGAGGAGGTCAGCATGGAAGTCCCGTCGTTTGGAGGCATCCAAAGGTTTGGGGCAAGAAGGCCGGAGCACCACTGCGAATTGGAACCGCTCGAGACGCCATCGATCCGTATCGGTTCACAAAAACTGTGTGGAAGGGACTACCGCGGAAATAATACGCAAAATGCGAGCCAAATCAAAGCACTAAATGTATTTTTTATTAAAAGTTATAACTTATCATCGTTTTTTAATTTACTTAACACAGTAGTTTTAATATTCAGAAATATCGTTAGAAGAAGAAATGTGAACTATCAACCCGATTTGTTTGGAAGCAAACCAAAATACTAGACCAGCAATCAAATATTTTTGTCTGTGTATGAATTGAACGTAATACAACCTGTTTAAATATAATAAAGCGTATTGTGAGTAAGTAAAACTGTTCTAATCAAAGTTTGTTAGATATTCAAATTGTAGTTAATAAAATATTAATTAGAAACGGGTCTCGACCAGATACCAGCTGTGCTATAAAAGGGGTTCGCCCACATCAGATGGCATCAGAAGATTCAATATGAAGATCTTTACACTTGTGCCTTCTGCTGCTCGCTCTGGCTGCCGTCCAGGCAAAGAGTACTCCCGAACCAAATCTATTTCACCCAAGAACCTTAAGAAAGCTGCAGGATAAATATTTTGGACTAAGGAAGCGGATTTTAATCGAAATGGACTGGCAACTTGTAAACTGAATTAACAAAAATTTTTTTTTTTCAAAAACCTTAAATAAAAATACCTTTTTAGCAAACTTACTGTGAAAATATTCTTAAAATAATAAAATAAAAATTGGTAGGTGCCACAGAATCGGATGGTACCCAATTTTATACGTCTTAGCTTTGAGGTGATTAAGTTGCACCCCGAATACTGGATTGGTTGAAAAAAGCTGAAAAGATTTTAAGAGTCGAGGAAAAATATTATTATTGCATCGTACTTTTATTTTCTTTTTATAAATTTAACAATACCAAAATTTTGTATCGCTGTAGACTTTGAGCAGCCTTTTAAAAAAAATCCGTATTGCTAGATCAATTTGAGTTGTTTTATTAAAACAGTAAAGCAAATCCTACAATCAAATCTTTTAAAATTATATAAGCGGATCCCAACAAACTAAAACGAAACTATAAAAGCATTACTTTTAAAAACATTAAGACAGTATTTATAGATTTCAATATCCTTATACAGCGCACAGGTAGACATGAATAATTCGTTTTTCTGTTAAGTGGAGTATCCACTTAAGCCGAAAATATAGTTACTCCCATGCAAAACCTGAGTTATCCCAAAGCTCGTCAATGTCTAAATAATTTGACAATTCTTTCAATGTGGTTCTTTAGTGGGACTGCAAGTAAGTCTTGAAAAGTAGACTTTAAAATTTCAAACCCAAGCCCAAGAATATGCATTGTGTTTTGAATTTAACGCTACAAGTTGCAAAACTAAAAGTTAATGCGCTAGTCAAGATTGATTAACAGATTTAAAATGGAAACATTGGTTCTTAAGCCTAATTTGTACATTAATTATCGGAAATACATTGAAAATTAAATTAAAAAAAAAAAAAAAAAAAAAGAATTAAATCTAAAATAGTATAGCTATTATGAAGTGTGAGTGAAGTTTGGCCTTAAATAGTGTAGCACCTCTAATGTCTAACGAACTAGAGAATGGTAATTTTTCAAAAAGGTATGATAGATAATTTTGTGTATAAATATTATTGTTCTACTTTCATAAAGTCTGCCAAGGTTAATATAAATCGATCGACCCATACTATTGTATGCTACTTTTTGCTTAACTGCCTTGATGCGTCACAATTGCGTAGCACATTTAAATAATGATTTCAAACAATAATAATCTTTCCCAAACAAATGCAAATAACAAGAGTGACCGGTATTTAATGAGATCAGCTGATTCTAATTGATACACAACGAACCAGCTACGTCTTAAATATATGACCTATAAATTAACAATTGTGACCCAAAAAGAAGACACGAAACGGGAAAACAGGTAACTGCGAAACGCTGCCAATTGGGGTATAAAAGATCTTGCAGCACCTCAAAGTGTATCAAAATTAACAAGATGAAGTTCTTTGCTCTGTGCGCCTTTCTTCTGATCGCCCTGGCTGCTGTCCAGGCAACTCCCGGCCAGCTTAGTGGACACGGAGGTGGACAAATTGGACGCGGTGGACAAGGAGGACACGGAGGACAAATTGGACTCGGTGGACAATCTAGTCATGGAGGACAAATTGGTCGTGGTGGACAATCTGGCCATGGTGGACTTGGAGGTTCCTTGGGACATGGCAGTCATTTGGGCTAAATACTCATTAAATCCTTCAAGAAGATAAACAATCCTTAACTTGATGGATAATGAAGTATTTGGTTAACACCTCAAATGCAGCATAAAATAAAAATTTTTTTTCGAAACCAAATTGAGTTTTTTTAAATTATGGTTTTCCTAAACAATTCCTAAATTTAAGGGGGCTCGCCGTATCGGTGTTTTAATTGGAAATTCTGGTTTTTCCGTATATAACTGTATATAACTGGAATTTCCCCACTAACTATAATCCGATAAAAACGAAACATGCCTTGGATACTGTCAAAAATGTTTGGGGCCATATCTTATTTGAAACCGGTCAGAGTTGGGTTTGATTTTATATTCAGAACACTGTATTGCCTGTCTATTTCAGTTTTATTGTAAAGTTTAGTGTAGTAAGTCCACAAAAACGTATTTCAAAAAATCCAAAGTAAAAAAATTCAATAAAATCGGAAAGCGAATGACACAGGCTAGTTCCGCAAAACGAAGAAAAAGCCCAGACAGGCAGTAAAAAATTGCAGATTTCAAGGGATAAAAGAAGCTAAATCCTCGAGATGGGGCCAAGAAGAAGTCGGTAGCCGTGGTCGAGCTCCGTCAGAGACCGAAAGCCGGAGAAGAAAGCTCCGCCAAAGAAAGAGCCTTTACCCATCTTTGTATTCGATTGTATTGTCACCCACTTGGAGGCCAACAATACGGAGTTCACCAACCTGCCAAGCTGGAAGTCACTGCCAACTTCTTTAAGACTCCACTTATCCTCACGAAGAGTCAGATAAATGTCAGCGATTTCAAGGCAAATGCTGGACTCACCTTCCAAAAGGAACCCAAGGAGATCAGGAAAAATGTTAACGAATGTGGCATATCCTTACAGTGGTGTACAGCAAAAAGGTGATTGGCTCTGGCCAGGCATCCTTTCCATCCAGCGTGGTCGATAGCATCGATAAGGACATGACGGACATCCTTCACTCGGATGTAATAACCTGGTGTCGGCGGTCAGGTGACAGGAAAGCTGGAGTTCCTCTGCCGGCTGGTCATCATGTGCATTGCCGAGTAAGTATATAAGTCTACATATTTTATATTTAATCATGTAGGACTCTTTTTTATTAAATCGGACTCTTAGATATTACCCCTTATTCTCCTAATTGAAACCTATTTCAAACTGCTATTTTAGGGAGCCTGAAGCTCCGGGTGAGCGCAACGTGGACAGGAGCATCAATCCGCAGGACATCATGTTGTGATGGGCGAGTCACAGGTGTGTCCCAGTGCCTGCGAGCCCTGCCAAAACGACTTGGAGGAGGAGGAAGGTGATGAACGCCTCAAACTGGACCTGGATCGATATCGCAGCCAGGGAGGAGGAATAAAGCCCTATAAAATGATGACTGAGAACGGATCCGGCATACCAGCTGCTGTGAACTTAAGGTGGGGGTGTTACCTTTTTTTAGTAACCTATTATAACCTATTATAATTTAATATACTACCCATTCCCCACTAGAAAATGGCCATTGAGTACGAGCGGATGATTGATTCAATAACCAAAAGGACAGGGATGCCACCACCCAAGCCTCCTTGCCGAGATCCGGATGAGGCAAACAACTTTGGCATGAATCCCTGCTGGTGTCAACCGGAACCTCCGCCGTTCCTTGAGCTCCCCGAAAAGCCGGACAAGCCATGCTTCGTCTACATGCCCGCCGTCCAGGATCAAGAGCCGGACTTTTGCGAGAAGAACCTCATTCCGGTGCCCATTGCCGACTGCGATGGCCACAAGCCGGAGATCAAGCCCATTCGCTTCTGTCCAGTGTGCCTGACCAACATGTCCTGGCTGCCCAAGTTCGCAGCGTGTCCGAAGTGTGGAATCAAACCCATGCCCGTGGTGGAGGAGCGGCACAAGGAGAAGAAGCTGTCGGCGGACCAGATTCTGCTTGAGTACCTGGGAAAGGGTCCGGCCACCTTGGATGACTACTGCACCGATCCCTGCGACAAGGCCAAGAAGGACAAGGAGGCCGCCGAGGACGAGGAGTGTCCACCATGTCGCTGCACCTGCAAGTTCGGCAAGATGTGTGCCCACTGTCGCATCCGGAAGCTGTGCTCCGATATATTCAAGAGCGACCAGGTGGGCCCCAAGTGCCCCAAAGTGGAGCCCAAGGAGTCGGAGGACTACTGCGTGGTCAACAAGAGCTCCGACGACTGTCGACCCTACCTGGCCAAGGTCTTCTCCGAGCTGCGCGATCTGTACGACATTAAGGACACCAAGAAGATGTCCGAGCTGGACGAGAACTGCGATCGGGCAGTGCCCAAGACGGAGAAGCCCAAGGCGGAAAAGACGGATCAAAAGAAGGTCGAAGGTCAGGCGCCCAAGAAGGCACCCTATATTCCACCCAACAACAAGGGTCAGATCTCCAGCAGGCACAAGCAGTGCGTCCACCAATCGGGATTCGTGTCCCGACGACATGGCTGGGCCTGGAGCAAGAGCTGGGAGGCCAAGAAGCTGGGCTGGCGACCCGGAGCCATCCGCAAGCCCATTAAGCACCTGATGAAGTTCTTCCTGGAGCAACCTGCTCGGGAGAATGCCTTCGCCAAGTGCAAGGATACGGAGACCTTGGAGCGGGAAAAGGAGCTGGCTTCGCCGGTTTTGAATATCTGCAAGAAGAATGGTGAGATCTTCATCACCCTAAGACCACTTAGCACACTGGGAGTGCGCCAGAAACCGATCACCTTCCGGGTGGTGAAGAGTGAATGGCGGTGGCTCTCCGGGAGATCAAGAGGAAGCTGAAGGACAAGGGATTCCGGAAGTGCACCTGCCACCAGACCCTCATGATGTGCCACTGCCGGGATCCCACCGAGAAGGTGCACCTCCAGAGGGCCTTGAACAGGGAGTGCCGACGTCACTGTATTCCTCCAGCTGGTGACCATCTGGTGCTCACCGACACTAGCGAAAGCGACATGGAATTCGACTTCGAGGTCACTCCGCCAGCGGGAACGGAGCAACCGCCTCGGGCACCCTCGCCGGAGACGGTGAACCATGGCACCCAGACCTCCAAAAAGGACCAGATGCCTCTTCCTCCCACTATCCCGTCCGTGTGCCTCCCTACTACAGAGCCTTCGACTGCGCCGTGGGCGATCGCTACATGGGCACATCCTTTGGCTGGCCGGGTGAAGTGGTCTTTGAGGACGGGTCTTTGGGATGATGGGCGGCGGACCACATGGACCCAATCCGATGCCCTGTGGAAGACCACGAGTACCCGGCGCTTGGGGAGGTGGCGGAGGCGGTGCCGGCGGTGCAGGAGGCTTTGGAGGATGGGGACCAGGAGGAGGCGGTGGTGGAGGAGTTTTTGGCGGAGGAAGAGGAAGGGGATTCGGTGGACCCGGTGGTGCCTTTGGAGGCGGACCAGGAGGTCCCGGGGGTATGGGCGGCGGCTCCGGAGGAGGCGCCTGGAAGGGATTCCCTGGCACTGCCGCCGGAAAACCCAAAGGCGTCAAAGCCGAACCCATTCCAGTGCGCTATCCCAAGAGATTCCTCAAACCCGCCGAGGAAGCTGCCAAGGCAGCCAAGCAGGCAGAGAAGGACGCAAAGGAGGCGAAGAAGAAGGGCATCAACATGATCAAGTACCTGCAAAAGAAGGGCACCCTGGTCCGACCCTGGAATCCGCAGGAGGGCAAGGACAAGAGGCCCAGGCCACCCAAAGGTGGGCCAATCGGTGATGATGGCCTCAAGCCCAATGAGAGAAAGCTGAAAATGCTCCTGGCCGTTCCACCCACTCCAATCTGTGCGATGCCAAGGCGAGGCAAAGCTCCAATCCCTGCGATCCCTATCGCATTGATATTGTCTGCTGACGGATCTTCCATTGGACTCTAATCTATTGTCTCCGCATCATCCTTTCCAATGTCGCGAAATCTTCGAATGGCCCTTTCAAATACTCTGTCTCGTATATTTTATAATATACCTAGAACATTTTATTTTAGTTTGTTTTTTAGAGTGGGTTTTATGGGCTCATTAACATTGAAATGCTTAATATCTTCCATAGAAATCCTGTGTATAAAAGAGCCAAATTTTGTTTCGGAAATACAAGAGAATATTCCAGAATATTCATTATTTATATGCTGATTTTATAAAAGGATAAGATATTTCAACGTTGGGATGTTAATAATATTCGAAAATGATGCAAGTAGTCTGAACATACTATAAAGTGCAAGTCGATTGAAAACTTCACTATGTTGCTAACGACATTTCATGATTCGCTTAAATTGTCTCTTCATTTGAAAATAAACAGGACCATTCCATATTCTGATCCTGTTTTCATCCGAGCTAATGGCCAAATTTCAGATTTTTCCAAAAATTTGCCAGTGCCAATGCTTAAATAACTGTCTTTATGATTTTTATCCCCAAAAATTTTCCGTTCCATAAGCAAAATCAAGAGACAGCACTTGCCTGCTAATGCCGTGAAAATCCAAATGGCATTATGAAATTTTATGTTATGGCAGAAGATGCCATAATGCCTTGCTCTCTCGTATATTATACATGAAATATGGCAATTTCAATTAGTTTTTAGTGCCGCCGACATACAGACGGACTGGGGATTAGATTTTGTAAGCCCAACAGCTTGTTTGCGTTATTATAACAGCATTTCGGACTGCCATTCCACTCGAAATGACATCGGAATCGGGTTGCGTTTGTGGAGTCGAGTGGAGCAGAGATTGAAAATGTTGTCTGTGCAGTTAATTAAATGGCAGGCACGCACAGGGGCCTTGGGAAAACCAGGGGAGGGGTCTATATGGAGATTCAGATATCAGCACAACCCGCACACGCACGAGGAATAATAGCAAATTAATGGGAAATGCTAATATATGCTAAATACGTAAGCTGATTAGCTGAAAACGCATCATATCCAAACATCAGATGGAACGGGCAAGCTTATAAACTGAGCTAATAAGTAGCCATGTCAAATTATCTTAGACATTAAGTGTACTAAGATATGCAACTTAAGAATAAAATATTAAGTTAGATACTATAATATTTTAAAAACTAAACCCTTCTTCAGTGCATTTAAACTATCACTGACAGCACTGTTACATTTTCCCTGTGGGAATCGAAATCCCGAGAAAAAATATTCACCCACTAACCCAAGGGATTCAAATTGAGCCAATTTATTAGTCCCTCGCAAAGGTTTCAAGTTTACACAAGGAGTAGGTACACGAAATTTTTAATTATACATACAAATTAGGCCAATTAAGTGGGGAAAGCAAAAATGCGAAAAAGTTCATTTACAGGCTGAAATATTTCAGAGCGTAAATTAGGAAAAGAAAAAGATATCTTACCTTTGTTAATGGAAAAGAAGAATGGTAAAGGATACTGTAAAAAAGAGGTTATATTGCCTGGGGGTATACTTCATTCTATATTTACACGATGCCAACTTAAACAATTTTTTAAAGTAGAATTTTATCTCGAAATCAGAAATCCCGTGATTTAAAGGTTCCCTTCACAACAGGCAATTTTCCACTCTCTAAAATCCCGCTGGAAAAGTTTAAAGTAAATGGCTCAATTTTCAACAATGTTGCCATACGAACATAAAACCAAATAAAATGCCTGATAAATCGTGCCACAAATTTCCGATATGGCGCGGTGTCGGTGACGGAAATATTTTATAGGATACTTAGCTAGGTGGAGGGGACCGCATTTATTTTTGGCATAGCAGATAGGCACGAAAATATTCGGAAATTGTGACACTTCAGCTGCGAAATATGCGAGATGATTAAAATATCCGCAATTATGTTTTGGCAGGGAAACTCTACCCCCAACGTCCTGCATAATTCAGTGGTCCAGAATGGTCGATATTTTTGGGGCAAACCCATGTTGAATATTTCATTTAATGGGATTTTTAATTTGACGCTTTAAAGTCAACATGGCGGGTGAGAGTGAGTAGCAAAGGTAAACGCATTTTGGCAGTTCATAAATCAAGTGAGTGAAGTGCCGCTTGGCTGGCGAACCTTAGATACCCTGGGCAAAGGCGGCCCTTGGTCAAATATTTACTCAGGCCTGTTAATGACCACACTCATAATACTCCCCACTCTTCGCAGGATTGCAGGATGTGGAGGACCCACCCTCGAGCCATCATGTCAGTGGCCATTCGGTGTGGCAGTTAACATCCGTTTCCGTCAGCACAAACAAAGCTTTTATCAGACCTTAAAACTGCGTCCCAGGCGAACGGAATTCCCCTTAAGAAAATATTGTGCTATAAAGCGGACTGTACGTGTAAGACCTCCTTTTTAAGGACTGTCCGAGACACTCTATCATCATTTGTCAATTAGTTGCACTACCTTCGTCAGGGGAGCGGTGTAAAACAGGAAGTGTGGGGTCTTGTCTGGCCGCGGGCCAAGTCCATTAGCAGAGAGCCAAGTTATTTGCTGCATAATTCATAATAATTATGCCAGCAGATTTGTGATGCCCCCGAAAACTTTCCAACTGTCCAAATTAAGCGGCGTCTTCCTTTTTTTGTGAATACAATTTTTGCCGCTTAAGTTTCTCGCTTTTTGGCGAAACTTTCAGCATTCGGCTCTTGGCGCTTTTTGGCCATTTTACCAGCAGCTGTGCGAATTTTAGATTCGTTTACGGGCAAAGCCGGCTGTCAAAGGAAGCCGGATGGGCCCACCTGGTCGTTCATGGAGCTACGGAGCCATGGAGCCATGGAGCTGCCATAATGCCAAAATACCAGATGTGCTTCCACTGCAAATTGGGTTTTAATGAATATTCGATTGCAGCGTTTTAATTGCCACGCGGAGTCAAGTCGGGCGACTCGACACGCTTGCATGCAACCGGGCACGCGATTCCACATTCGCGATTCGATTCGTTCCGCTGCCCCACAACGCGCTGCTCTAATTAATGCAAAAATCCGCCTGCGACAACGCTGCGTATGAGCAACGACAGAAAAGGCAAAAGGCGACTTGACGTCGTAATCGGAGCACTCCGTGCGTTCCCAGTGCCTGTGTGGGTGCTCAGACGAGTGCACTTCAGCGAAATACAAATGAATTCAATTTATGGATTGAATTCCCGGAAAAACTATATATGCTTTAACCACATTTTTTTAATTATCGCACGAACTTTAACTATTTAAAATGTAAATTGCATGGAAAAGTAACTTATATTTCACCAAATATTATTACAGACTTGAGATAACCAAAGTCATGGAAAGTTAAAATTGTAAAATTCACTTTCTGGATTAAATTCCCAGAAACTTTATTTGTTGAAACCACATTTTCTAGTTTAAACCATTTAAAATTTACATTTCAATGAAAGATTATTTTTTAATATTTCAATGACTGAGATAGAATACTATTATATTTGTTGTAATGAATGACAATTTCAACTTTATCTACCTTGTAAAACTCAATTTCAGGATTAATTCCCAGAAAACCACATTTATTTAATCTTCGCACGAACTTTAAACAATTAAATATAAATTTCAATGAAAAGAAACTTATATTTTACCAAACATAACAATATTTGAGATACCAAAATGTTAAGTTACATTTGTTTGTAATGAATGGCAATTTGATAACTCTATCTACCTTGAATATTCTTTGTTAATAACGACAACTTTTAGATTTTTCCATTTTGTTTAATATTTTCTTTCGAACTAAAACATTTTTAACTTTGAAAACTAATTTCTGTTCTTTTTTGTATGTTTGTTCTATGATACTGAACCTGATCCTGACCAATATATGATTTGGTAAAAATTCCCTTGCCTTCCAAAATGCTTTAATATGGACCTATATTTATAGATTATAATCAAACAAAATTTGTATGGTCTAGCATTCAATGATACATATTCAAATAATATGTAATGACACATTTAAAATTTATCTGACACATAAATAATTTAACCGAAAGGCTAACAGTATTATAATTATTAAATTTTCAGCAAACTTAAAATATTATTTGCTTATAATAAATTAAAGCTACATTTTTCCAGTGTATTTGCATGTAGTAAAAACCGTGGAGTGGGCGAACTTGCTGCCAGTGCCTGCCTTTTGCCAAAACAACAGAGAAAAAAGAGTGAAACAAACATTTTGTTACCAGAAGCTTTACGATTCCATTAAAGGCTAAAAGGAAATGTCAGCCAGAAAAAGGGCAACTTCAAAAGTTCTGGGCCATTTTGGCCAACACCCCCGCAGTTGCCATTTTTGTGCGGTTTAGTTTGCCACAAAACTCGGCAGCACAAAGGCAAAAATTCACCAGCTCCAGCAGAGTAGAATTTTATACGAACTTGAGGTAATTTCACAGCGTGAAACAAATATAGTTTTGTTTTCTTTACGATATGGGTCATCGCCTTGGATTACTATGGGATTTTAACAAGTCCTCATTTCGTTTCATATCGCTGCGTCTCATTTCGTTTCATATCGCTGCGAGTAGTTTAGTTTATTGTACCATAATCCTGTTTGTCAACAACTTGTGCTTCCTGATACGAGTTTCCCACAGACCCCAACTATAATAATCCTAAAAACAAAACTTTCCTGTTATGAGCTTTCCCTGACACAATCCGAAAAGTACGAAGAACCAACGACCCCCAAGTGCTCGTATGCAATAAAATATTTATTCATGCATGCATGCAAACAAGTGCGCGGCAATTTCGCTTATTTTTGTGAAACTCAAAAATCCAAATAAAATAAAATAAATCCCAAAGGCAATTGCTTTGCGATGGTATTTCCGCCATTTTCCGCAAGTTGGATAGATTCCCCAGAGTATGGAAGTGCGAGCAGGTAAATATACGTGTTATAAAACTTGTTCTTTTAATTTACCCTAAATAATAATTTTATTTATTTATTCCCCATTAGATTCCATTTATAATTCGGAGGCTTAATAAAGTTTGAAACATGAAGCTAAGCCTTCAACAGTCGAATAACTTTATTTCTCTTCCAACAATATAATCCTTTTAAAAGACCCCAAAAGCAATTTATTTAAAAATTA